CAGGGAGATTATAAAGATGACCTCAGTGTGTTAACTGAGAGCCAGTGGTAACCTTTTTTTGAATGTCTGACAGGGCTAATGCGATACCTCATTATCATCACCATCCCTCTGCTCAAGCCATAACATTATTAGCGCCAGCAAGGTTTTCTCTGACCTCATTAAAGAAAAGACGCTCTGTCAACAGGTTAAAGTAACAACAGTCTCCAGTATTTTACATCTAATTATTTGAACCTACTCATTTGAACCTTTGTTGGAAATTATGACCATGCATTATGTGACAAAAATACCATGAAAACAAAACACTCTGCAACTGCATCTTGTTTAAACCTCAATTCTACAAAGGGCACATCTCTTAAAAACCTTGTGTAAAACCTTAAATTAAGACATTTGGGATTTTTTTTATTCTTAGCCTCACTATTTGTATATTTTTTCACTAGACTGACCATCAAAGAAAATTCAACTTATATATTAATCAACTTTTTGCAGCTTAATAGTAGGGTTTAGCTGGGTTTCCAAGCAGAATGGACAATCTTTAATTTATATAATTTCTAATCTTGCTTTCAAACTTTGCTTTGTAATAATATAGTTAAAATATAGGGATGTCATTTGGTGCTGCTTAAAAAATGATTGTCATAGAACATGATTTTAAGATTTAAGATGTTTTGATTGTATATGTTTTTTAAGAAGTTAGCACACATTGTTTTGCTACTAATGTCAAATTAGTCCATAAAAGGTCAACAAAAGCTCAACAATTTAAGTGCTTTGAGACAATGTGATAGCAGGAATGTTATGCCCATATAGACAAAACCAGATGACATAATCTAGTATGTAAAAAACAAAGCGATTATACCTTTTGTTAATCTAAAAGGGAGAAAACAGTGAGACATCATTTATGTAAGGTGGCACACACTGCTTAAATTAACTACACGTGGACCAATCATGGCTTACATTTTAGTTACTTTTAGTTTTAGTTAAATAAAAAAAATGTAAAAAGTTTTATTCATGTAGAAAAAAATGGTTTTATTTAGGGGTTAAAGTGAGATTCGGCAGGGGGAGTGCAGCATGGGGATTAAGAATGACTTAGAATTAAGTCACATAATGATTTGTTTGTGAGCTCCAGTAGATTTTTCTTTGTGTATACACTTTGATCAAATGACCTGTGCTGCTACTCTATGTTCTGCTCTAGTTATATGGCTGATTGCTAACTCCTAGACACAAAGCTAATAGGTAGGTAAAATCCAGCAAGTGAATCCCCTTAAATATGAATTGATGTTTGCTACCCTTGATGTAACCTAGTAACAGTACTCAGGAAGCAACCAGCCCAACACATTGCATCATTCTAAATTCTATCTCAATATTGCAAACTAATCAGTTTACCCTGCACTAAACTGCCTGGTATTTTATGCAACCTTTGAATAACATAAATTTAATACACGTTTTAAGTTTTGCAAGCCATTTCATAAAAGCATTGATTCAGCAAAACATTATTTATATCTCCAATATCTCATTTCAAACATTATTAGAAATAAATTAGAACATTACATGAAAGATTTAAATTTCCAGTCTATAAAATTTCCCCTGCTAAGCAGTGCTTACCTTTAAAAATAAAATGATCTAATGATCTAATTTAAAAATGATCTAATTACTCATTAGATCAAGGTGCTACAAAGCTATTCAGATCCACTTTATTCCCTTGTTTCATTCATGGGAATACATTCATAATAAGCTATTTAATAATCTATTTAAATAAGACCTGAACAAGATTTTTTCTGGTCGTTTAGTGTTCATTCTACCACTTTATATTGCACTAAAAAAAAAACCCCAAAACAAACAAAGATAAAACAAATCAGCTGCAGAAATGGCAAAAATTGATTCAACTATGATTTCTGCATAAAATCCTTGAAGGATTTCAGGTAATTTGTCAGAAACCTGAAGTTCAACCAGAAATGCAAATGGATCTGTTTAATATGCCAAAGTATTGCTCAAACAGAAGAACCAGAGTATTAGAAAAGATATTGAAAACCTAGATTTGAATACTTTGTTCAAGAATACCACTTAAAATTTTAAACTCTCTATCAAAAGCTATTGAATATTCAACAATATCATCAAAATTATGAAACTTATACTAATAATACTTTAAAAAAATAGATTCACTAAACCTACTTTTTCTAGATTAAAAAAAAAGACTTTGTCATACTCTGAATTAGCATTCTAAGCAGAGTATTTTTTTTAAACATGCCTGTGCTTGACTATGACAAAGACTTGGATTATTAAAAGCACACTGTGCAAAGTCAAACACCACAACCATAAAAGTCTGTCTGAGGGCTTAATGTTGAAGGGTCTGCTTTACATTTACCCTTGGCTGCTATGATTCCTGTTTCTGCTCGTCCTGTCCATGTTCTGATGTCTTTTTATCCTGCATATAGCAGGGACACCAATGCCATTTTAAAATGTGGGGCCCCAAACAGCCAACTTTTATTCAGTTTGTATTAAATCAGATCTTTTTTAAAACTATAGACTCATTGTAAATACTGGAAAACCAGAAACTTTTCTGTCATTTAATCATTTACCTATTACTTAACTACTTTGATGTAGTACGAATGGCGGTCATTAATAGGAAAAGCTGTAAAACTTATAGAAATACAGTTAAAAGTTTAAAATTTAATAATATTTTTGACTCTGGCTCACATATATTATACAAATTACTTTAATGAGTGCCATTTCCATTGATCACGACGTAAAGATGGTCAGGTTAATTCATAACAGACCTCATAAAATGCTGTGAAGCCACACTACAGAAAACGGAAGCCGACTGTGATTACAGTGTCAGCATCGGCACTAGCAGATGTTCACTCATTGCCCACGTGTTATATTGCTTAATAAAAAACTACAAACACAAAATATCAGCAGTAGCCGTGAAATGCTAACTAAACGTTAAATAAAGTCGAAAATGTAGCTGGCTGATATATTAAAGCGGTGACTGCTGAGCTGTCAGTGTACTCACACTTTGTATGGTAGCCGGGGGTCCGACGTCAGGGTGATTTTAAACGTTACTTTAGACCTAATGAAGAACACACCATTACAGTTGTTAACAGATGGATACGCGTGAATGCATGTAAAATATGTCCATGTCAAAATTTCACGAAAGTCCAAAAACTCACATCTTTATGGGCGAGGCGACTCCGCTTGATATCTGTTTATACAAACCCGGAAGTCAGAAGGACCCTCACGTACACGTCATCCATCTGGTGCCAAGTTTGAGAAGTAAATGTACCTATTTTAAAGTTTAATAGTTAGCTAAGATTTTTTT